CAAATACAGTATCAGAATTTTATACATTTATACTTCTCATTCAACTACAATTAAATTCACTCAAATAGAAGGTGCAATTTATATGGAAAGTATTTATTTTTTACATTAACAAGCTGGAATGAAAACAAGCAAAAATGAAATAAAAGTAACAACTTTCTACTTCTTGCCCTTTTTAAAAATGTAAGGAGTAGAAAGTRCAGATAACTGTAAAATATAAGAAGTMGATGTAAAAAGTAGGYTGAAAAATAATTACTCAAGTAAAGYACRGATACCCAAAAATTCTACTTAAGTRCAGTAAAGAAGTATTTGCACTTARTTACTTTACAACTCTGATCACMTCATTYGTTCTGGGTGCCTAACTYTTTATCAATGCCTTTTACTCACATCTGCAACGAGTGTTATTGCTAAATGCTTGTAAAGTTGTTAAAGGATCAGCTGATGCGACGCAGATAGTCACACATGTTTTTTCAAAGACGTGTGCATTGAAACATAAAGCCATAGATTACTTAGTGCAAATATTGATTTAATTTATTAGCTTGAAGTGCTGCATCAATTATAGATCCACTGTCCTTTTCATCGTACTCCAATACTGTGATGTTGCTGTTACACGTTAGACTTGTTAAGTAAAGGCAAATGTTTCCCTTCACTCAAGGTTAGGTTCAGAGGTAACAAAAAGCCTACATSTACTCTGTTTATACCCAGCTTTTATGCTCTACACTTGTTCCCAACATGAATTCAGTCTGCACTAAATACATACGTATAAACCAGACAAGAAAAAAAAAGGGAAGGGAAAATATTGTCAAAAACATATACAGGAGTGGGAAAACATTTAGTTCACTTCTAAATAAATAAATAAATAAATAAATAAATAAATAAATAAATAAATAAATAAATAAATAAATAAATAAATAAATAAATAAATAAATAAATAAATAAATAAATAAATAAATAAATAAAATGAAATGATGCACATAGGTTGATTTTTCATTGAGGCTCCTCACATGGCAGGTGTAAGCATCAAAAGAAATACACTTCAATGTCAAGTGTTGGTCGACTCTTATCTCAATTAACGGTACACTGAAAGGAGACCAGTGGTATGCACCTACTCCTTTCAAAAAATCCTACTTATGCTCCTTGTTTCTTTSATGGCATTTTAATCAGGCTGAATGAACATGAGTTGACATTTGAAGTTCTTATTGACATGAATGCTATTTTTCAATTTTTTTTCTTAAAAAAAAATGCAACATCAGTGAAGGTTTCTGATTAAGGGTCTCTTCGCCACACAGTGCAAATTGTTTGACCAACRTGTCACTTGCTTTCTGTGCTAATTGATGACAAAAAGGATTTTAGTTGTTTTTTAAATAAAATTGTGTGTAATGCAATTTGTTTGTACAACTAAAATTGTTGAGAAAGAGCAATGTAAGAACAAGTAAATGAATCCAAGTTTTGATGTTAAGCACAGTGCTGTCTTTTGATTTCTACAGATTTTAAAGTGTTTTACTCTTTTTCTTCAGTGTATTTATTTTTTAAGTCACTGAGAACCAACAGATACATCAGGGGCAGACCTAGAAAATTTTACATGGGGGCAACCAGCTCCTGTTAATCTATAATTATCCTCCTGTCTGAGAGGAATACGTTTCCATTTCTATAAAAAGGTACAATTCTATTTTCTTAAAGGAAAGTGATGCAGCCTAGATCAAGTTTTTAATTAAAACATTTTATTTGTATTTTTTCTATAWTTATTTGTGCAATCTGAAACTAAATAATGTTGCTCATTAATTCAATTCAATTCAGTTTATTTACATAGCACCATGTCACAACATACGTTGTCTCAGGGTACTGTACATGAAAAAAAAAAAATCTATAATCTCACATTATGTGAGAAGACAAGTCAAGGTTTGTCGTTAAAAAATGTAGTTTTAAGTCGATGGAGCTAAATATTCCATCCACATTCATACTGTACAAGAAAAAAAATAATAAATGTATGTATTGATTTCAGAAAAATCCCACCAGCCAGATTGTAACATTTTCTTCACGTATTAAATATTCTAGAAATGTGAATCATAATGTTTTGCTTTTAAATCCAACTGGTCGCATTAGCATCACTGTTTGGACGTGACACCACTGTTCTGCATTGTAAAAGTTATGTTTTTTTATGGTATATTCTCAATTATCTCTACTACTTTTTTCCTCAGTGTCTCAGATGGTGGTTGAAGAGGTCAGTGCCATTCAGGAGAACCTGGAGATCGAGAAGATGTGCAGAGAAAGTGCCGAAACTTTGGCCTCCAAGGTACAAATCATTGAGACAAACAATATCTAGTAGCTTAGCATTCTTTAACAGGTTTTTACAACATATTGAATCCAAGAAGCCATTTTTATGGGCTCCTAATGGTCTTGAATGATTTTTTATTTCTTGCATCTTAACTATTTATTGGTGTTTTTATGGATTTTGCAGTGCATTTACATAGAATGAGCATTTACATTTTTTAGTTGCATTGTTCTCCACAGTGTAATGACAAKAAATGGCTTTTTGACTTTGCCCACCTGTTTGCTTGAACATTACCCTGACACAATTTGWCACGGTGCAATCAAACACACTGCTGCTGTCCTCACTTCTTGTGGTGGAAAATTGCCTGGGACCCTCATGATTCAGGGGCTTACATTTTTGGACTCCTTCGTTGGCTGTGATTGAGAGTGGGGGAGCCTGGCACGTGGTGATTTTGCAGCCCACTGGTGCTCAGATTATCACTGTAATCATTTTTTATTCAATTTTTGTTCAAAGCCAGTCCACCTGGATGGACCAGATTTCAGGTTAGTGGGAGACTGATGGAGAATGATGATGAAGGTCAACTTTTAGGCGCCCCCTGCAGTACAGTCAATCATCTTCAGTCCATCTTTTTGTCCTTTAGCTTGTTTTTTAAGTCTTAAGGGACAACAAATAAAGTAAGACCATAAAAATGAGAAATAGTTAAAAAAGGATTTTCAAGACACTCCAGTTTTTTGTTTATATGTCCGTCTACTCAGTTACAACACCAGTATGCTAATAATCAACTGTGCAAGAGGTGGGGTCCACCCTGGACAAATTCACATAGAGACAAAACTTCACTTCACTCATAGGGACAGTTTAGAGTTGCCATTTATCTTAACATGCAAGTTTTTGGTCTGTGGAACAAAACCAGWTTGCCTGGAGAAAACCCACAGTGAAAATAYGCWAACTCCACAGAAAAGCTCCAGGCCATAGTTGGAGGCACGATGATCTTGTGGTTGGTGAATGGTAAATGGACTGAACTTATAGAGAGCTTTATCAAGTCCCTCCAGACTCCAAAACGCTTTACACTTACACACATTCACCCACAGATGATGGTAAGCTACACTGTAGCCACAGCTGCCCTGGGGTGCACTGACAGAAGCGGGGCTGCCGTACACCGGCGCCACTGAACCCTCTGACCATCAGTAGGCAAGGCGGGTGAAGTGTCTTGCCCAAGGACACAACGACTGAAACTGCTGGAACAGGGGATTGAACCATAACCTTCCGGTTCCAGGACAAATCCCTTAAAGGGCCAATWTTATGTGTTTCTCAAGCATATATTTAAATACTTTACCACAATAAAGTATCTATGTCACTTTTAGTTGTTATTAAAATTCTGTTTTTAGGTTTAATTAGAAATTAAACTCATCTTCTCATCACTTCCTCTTCTAAATGCCTTGAAATTGGCCTCTGTCTCTTTAAGAACCTCCTTCCACTTCTGTCCTGTCCCATTTCAGCGTGAGCACAGGGTGGGGGGAGGGTTCACGTGCTATGATGCAGTTTACTTGGCATCTGAAAATACATTTCCTCAAAGGTATTTTGAATCTGAAAAGAGCTTCACTGAGTGAGAAGTAGTTAGGAGCTCAGCAGACAGTTTCAGTTTCACTTTCAGTTTCACACGTTTGATTTGTTACTGCCGACAGCCTGCAGGAGTCATGGGTGGGGTGTGTGGGGTGGGGGATGGGGAGATGTGCTCCGTGATGAGGAAGGTCGGCTTGGAGACACAGCCCAGAGGTGGAGATGGTCCCAAAAGGCGGTTCTAGTCTCAACCGGTGGTTTTTGCTCTCCTGCCTGCTGCCTCAGGACACTACAGGATTTCTCAAACATGCATGAATGAGTCAAAGTAAGACTCTGGGCATGTTTTTGATGAGAGGATAACATTATAACATGATATAAAACTCAAAAAAGTTGATTTTACATGATATAGCCCGTTTAACCACTCCGCCACACTGTCGGAGAGAGACAGATCAAGGTAAAAAATGTGAGTAAAACCCTAAATGTGTTTAGAACTACAAATAAACTTTATAAAATTATTTMACAACTTTGATGTTTAAATCCACATCACATACAGTAAATACTGTACATTTTGTAAGAATATCAAATTTAACCATCAGACTGTTAGATGTGGCAAAGGCACAGCAGAGTCCAGGGATTTATTTTGGTGAGACAGTGTCAGTGAAAACCTTTTACAGTAAAAATTACAYCCTGCCTCCTTACATCCTGAAACGGGGGAAGTGGCAGATTTGCATATGTGTGATTCAGTTATGGACTCAGTGTGGAGTGGGTGGTTCTTCTCTTGACCCTTACTGAYGCTGGGGTTGCTGCACAAGTCTTCAGCAAGACTCATGTGGCATCTGTGAATTGGAAATGGGGAGGGGCTCACCGACCCACTTGTTGACAAAAATACAGTTGTAAAGTAACTAAGTACAAATACTTTGTTACTGTACATAAGTAGAATTTTCACACAATTATCTCTACTTTCTACTCCTTACATTTTTAAAAATGTAAGAAGTAAAAAGTTGTTACTTCTGTTTGATTCCAGCTTGTTATTGTTAAAAGAAAGAAAGAAAAACTATCCAGAAAAATTGAACCTCGTGAATTAACTGTGGTACCATTTTGTCACCCCATTGGTTTTTATAGGATCCAGCTCACAGTCACATGATACAAATCATGTCACACTCCAGCAGGACATAGCAGACATATGTAGCTTAGAATGAAGATGACCGTGGCAGATATACTGTGTACATGCAGCTGAAAAAAGGTAGACGAGTGCAGCCCAAATTTTTCATCAAGATTTTAATATGACATGACTTTTAGAAAAATGTTTTTTTAGGGAGGTCACCTCCCAAAAAATGTAATTTTGAAAATTCCAACTGCCTACTTTCACTCAATACTTTTAATTTTAATACTTAAGTAAGGTAAATGTCAAATACTTGAGTTTTACTCAAGTTATATTCTTAGAAGAGACTTTAATGTTTACCAAAGTAATTTTATGGTAAGATAATCGTAATTTTACTCAAGTATCACTTTAAGGTACTTTATACAAGACTGCAAAAATAAGGTTGCTAAAGTCGCCAATAAAACTAGATTTGTCGCTTTTTGGAAAAAGGGGTCTGAAACCTTTCTAATTCTAAGGACAATGTTGGCTTCACTCCTCATCCCTGCTCAGATGGATCTTTTCATCTTGACAGCTTTGTTGCCTGATGGGAGGTTGCGTGTTGTACAAAGGCAGATGTCTAACCGGTGGGTCAAAAATGAATGGGTTAACACCATCCAGTTAGATGCTGCCACTCCACCCAGGTGGTTCTTCATCATTAGAACTRTCCAATCTTAGATCAGCCACACCTGGTGGGTTCATGTTCTCCAATAAAATTTTAGTGGATATGATTTCACCAATCAATTTGTATTCAAAACTTATTTCTCTTCAATAACAGATGTGATCATTCTGATTTTTCAGTACACTTGTTTGTTTCAACCGAGCAGAAATGGTTGTATGTGTTTTAAAGGCTAAAACCTTGATTCATGCCATCTCTCCTAAAAAGCAGCAGAGGATCAGGCCTTTCTTGGCCTGACAGCTCTGGATTTACTGTTTTTTTTTATAAACTGTCTTAAAAGCTTGATGGGTGACAGGCTTGGCAACTACTTGCTTTCAGGATTTATTTGACATCTTTTTTTCTCTTCTTTGTTTCAGTTTTGCTTTTGCTTCTTTTCTTCTCATATTCTTTGACACAAACCCAGGTCTCTCACTAGACATTTGCTCCGCTTGCCTAATGCAGCGTGGTGTATGAGCGCTCGCTGTGTCCATGCATCGGCTTATTCACTCAATTAGGCTAAAAGCAGCTCTTTTCTTCACTAATAATCTATAAATAGTGTGCGTAMAAGATGGATGGAATGGTGGACACTGGCTGTTTGAGAAATGTTGACCATTTACTGGTATTTTCAGCCATATTGTAAACTTCAAATTTTGCCCGAGGCGGTGTCTTCTTTTTTTATTTCCTAATTTACTTTTAAAATGAGCCGAAGAAAGAGCAGAACCATTCTTAGATAAACAAAGCCTTTATCTAGGTGTTAATTTCTGTACCCAATTACGATCATTTTTGCAAACCGAACGTTCCTGAGATTTAAGTTYAGAGCAATTTCTTAACACTTGAGGAGTTTGAATTAAAAAAAGCAACGAGATGGGAGGGGGAGGGGAAGCAATTTAAAAGCAGACGGATTAAAAAATGTGGTTTTGATGCTTAATGTTTTTTGTGTTGATGTGTGATCAAGGTAAGATGAAGGGCTGTTATTTCATAATGTTGACCTTCAAAGAGAACAAGCCAGTGCTATGTCAGTCTTGATCCATCTGTGTGTGTAATTTCATCGTGCATCTCTTGCCAATTGTACATTTTTTTTATCAAAGGAATGTGATTCCATGTTGTGTATTGTTGATTGCATTTCAGAAAAATAAATGCAGTCTGAAGGGTGTCATCAAAAGACAGATTTGCTGCAATCTGCTCTCAGCAGGATGGCATTAACATGTTCTCATTATTATTTTTTTGTGTGGTTTGCATTTTCTATTTTTCCTCCTTTTTTCATTTTAAATGCTTTTCTTTCTTTCGCTGACATCAAGATACATAATTCGCATCAGCCGCCTTCACATGGGCTTCATTGAAGTTTTACTAAGTGTTTCTGTTTAGTTTATATATACAGCTGAAGGATGACAGGATTTAAAAATAAAGGAACGGCCATTCTGAAAAGCAAGTATATATCATTTTAAAAGACACGAGCCAAACATGTATAAAAAGCACAATTATTTGATCAAATAAACATTTAGATAATGCAAAAATGCAAATTCGTGTCACATTAGAAACTATGATTACACCAATGAAAACCGATTTTCACTTTGATAACTCTGATTATATCTTTTTATTCATGCCTTTTTGCAGTTTTTGCTGCCTTTTGCACGTTCTTCTGTTATTATGAATGATTGCAGTGTGAAGGAACGAGGAGAAATCAGAACCTCTTTCCTGCCTGTCATTCTTCTTCCTTCATTCTTTGCCTGTTATTTCATCTGTTTATTAGAAAACAGATCTCTGATGAATTTGGCTCGGATAGAAAAGTAAAGTAATATGGTAGGTCTGTTGGCTCTGATTGTACCTGTGCACGTTTTCAGAGAATGTGACATGATTTAGAGAAATGTATTGCTGCAACACATAATCTCAGTTTGTGGACTACTGAGATTAATGTACCTTTTAGTTCTTTCACTCCTGTAGGTGGGACAAATATGCAGTAATATGTTAGAATTTTTAAAGTAAATTAATGTTTAGATTCTGTCAAAAGAATGTTCTGGATGTGTAATTAGGCACATGTTTAACTAAAGGCTCAGAATTCCTTGAAACAACACGTCACCCATCGCCTTTAATGCCAGGGTTTTTAATTGGTTTTGCTGAGAAACGAGCCATTTTAATCAAACCTTGAAAACAATGTTATGCAAAACTAAGATATCTCAAGTGATCTTGCACAATCTGTTATAAATGACTCAGCTGATACATCAAATTTAGCATTTCTGTAAAATTCCCTTAGTTTTGACCAAACAGCTGGAACAACCATCTTCACCCTCCTGCTGCCCTTGGGTCAAAATGACCCACGACTGAGACCTTGTGCGTAATTTTGACCCAATCTAACCAGGACTGGTTCAGTTGTAGATGAAAAACCAATAATTACTCTCTGAGCCTTTCAYTGCAATTACTTTTGTAATTTATGAAATATTTTGCTAATAGACAAGTAATTGTCTTCTCTGTGCTTCCTTGAATAGTTGAATCATCAAAACCGCTCTCTGAAGAGGAAGAGCATGATGATGATGTCCCACCTCAGCCCTGAGACCATCACAGAGATTAACCTCGCAGATGATGAAGACGAGGGTGAAGACCTAGGGTCTGCCAGCAGAGCTTGCCTGTCCCCCATCAGCAACGCCGTGATCTCAGGTACCAGGTTTCTGAGGCTTTCAAACATGAGTGCCCTGACAAAAACTGCTTTGTGTGCAGAAATACAAAACAGTCCAACACACTGTGACCACAGCTGACAGATATTATTAATCCAAGACATGTTCCTCACGCTCTTTGTCCACATGAAAGAGACTTCTCACCTCTCTGTTTAGCCTGCTCAGAGGCAGGAGTCTGAACTGTTGTGTACCTTCTTCTTTCAGGCTGTCAGAGTCACAAACATTGCACATACACCCGCTTCGGATGTTATCATCCATTAAATGGACGTTATTAGCTGTTATCAGTCCCATAGAAAGGCTTCAGACTGTCCCGACTGTGCCGCCTAGTGGGTTCTCCATCCCATAGAATGGCTTCAGACTGTCAGCTGGTTAGTATGAGGCATAAAGTCACTCAGTTTTTTATGCAATCTGATTAATATGAGGCATAAAGCCGCTAAGGTTAATTTTAGAGAAAATGACATGGGCTACAATAAAGTAGACCGGACTCCGGCGGTAGCAGATTGTTGCCTTCCAATGTACTGTATATGGCATTGGTAACCCACTAGGGGGCACTGTTGGGACAGTCTGAAGACATTCCATGGGACTGATAACGCTAATAATGTCCATTTAATGGACAGATAACATCCGAACCGGCTGGCACATAGCAGACAGGTGTGGGCCAGATCTGATGTTAAGATGGCACTTCTGGCAATGACGGCACTGTTTTTAAGATGGCATGCCACAACTGGCCCAGTTCTGATTTAGTTGACATTGTGCCAACCAATGAATGGACCACCTCTTGCAAACCACATTTTTTGAGGTATCTGAGCCAAGTGTTAGAGTATTATGGCCATTTTCCACTAGTGTCCACAACACGGTTTGACTTGGCAGAACTCTGTTCAGCACAGATCGGGTGGTTTTTCATTGCACCTCAGTAACAACTCTAGTCGGTGGATTCATCGTTACATCGGGCGGTCCCAGAGTCCAAAAATTGACGCCACATGCCATACCAGCTGGTGATTATGCTACATTAAGCTATTTGCCAGCCACCATTAAACATAGTAGAAGTAAAAGATACACAACACAACAATGGAGGACATAGAAGCGTTGTTATTGCAAACGACGGCTCAGGTTGGTGTGAGAGTAGCTCTTGTGACGCAACCCTCTAATCAATCAGTGACCAACGGTCTTCTGACGTCACGTTTTCAGACCAGCACAGCACTTGGAACCACAGCGAAGCAGGTTCTGAAAAAGGGTCTGGTTCCACGAATCTTGGCTTGTGGAAAAGCCTTGGAACCATGGAGAGCCAAGTCCAACCATGACGTGGAGGCACTAGTGGAAAAGGGGCATAATTAGTGCCTTGTGTGGACCAGAACTGGACCAGACAAATTTTGCTATGTGGGATGCACATGCGCCAATAACATGATAGTCCTATTCCTTAAATTATCTTTTAAATTATCCTCACACTTAAAACTGAACAATGAGCAAACAATGAAATAGCACCTGATTAGATATTGTTACTGCCTTGTCATTTTAAGAGTGTCTTTTTACACCCATGCGTCAGGTCATTTTTAAAATGTGTTTTTTCATGTTTAAGCTGTTTTGCTTTCATTTGTAAATGAAATGAACAAAAGTTATGTTGTTATATTCCATTACATTTCGATTCTTATGGGTGTATTTTTATCATTACACAGATATTCCCTTTGTACTTTAGGACAATAGTTAATCTTCTCCAACCTTAAGTTCATTACAGCTGAATTTACCCCCCCCCCCCCCCCACAATCAAATCAAACCACCTCAGAGAAACATTATGTTCAGGTCCTCAAGTCAACCAGTAATTAGAGCTCAGGTGATAATAGCTTCATCCTCCATGATGCTGTTCTCATTATGTTGTCTAAGTCTGTTAGCGCTGAAAAAGGACAGATAATTATGTCTTTTACAAATGAACAAGATGATTAAATGCGAAAATAAGTCGACTTGCTTAGATTATGGGTTTATTATGTTAAAACATTAATAATTACATGTTAATGGATCAGTAGTCAAAACATGATCGGTAATGGAACAGAAATGTGATCAAAGAACATTTGTCCTAAATTATTTTTCTGTTCTTTTCTTTCTTTTTTTTCACCAGACTTATTGTTATACTTAAAAACAAACAAATAAAAAAAATCCAATCTCTCTCAAGAACTGTTTTTGGCTAAACAGACATTTTTTGAAGTAACTAAAATACCTAAATGCTTTTTGTCTGCTGCGAGCTGCTTCAATGAAAGAAATTTGTCTTTTGAAATGTTTCATTACAGAGAAATGCTTCTTAAATTTGCCTGAGAAAAACAATTCTAAATTTACCTATCTTAATCCATCTATCTATGTATCTATCAATATATGAATGGATCTTTCCAGTGAGTTCTCTAAGTTTTGACCTTTTTATCACCCTGGGTTTTTGCTTGATTAAACCTGAGGATTTTGCTGCAATTCTAGACCTTGGAATAATGAGTAAAAAAAAAAAAAATCAGTTCTTGTTTTTTCCAGATCTACAAAAGAAGTTGGAAGTGACACTTAAGGAGAAGCATCAGGTGACGTCTGACCTTGAGTCAGTGAGAGAACAGCTAAGAGATGCCAAGGATGAAGTAGGTTTTTGTTGCTTTGTTGCTAACACCCAAGATAAGTGTACATTAAAAGTTCTCAGTTTTTGTTGATTGAGATAACATTTAACAGAACCTTCTCCCACCACCACTACTACATACAAGTTTAAGGTACAGTGTTCAACTGAGATAAAAATCGGATCAACAATTAGGGAAACAAAACCAAAGATCCACCTATAGAGTTACATTAAATAACACTAGAGTGAGCAGCAAAGATGACGTCCAAACAGGGCAGCAGCTCACAGCTGAAGTAACAGCTGTTTGATTAACAGCAAGCCCAACTGGATCTGTGTCACAAACTATTTATAATATCTTTTAAATAACTTAAAACAATTGGTAATTAATGGTGAATGGTTTGAACTTATATAGCACCTTATCAAGCCCAGTCAGACTCCAAAGTGCTTTACACTTAGAGTCATTCACACACTCATTCACACACCGATGATGGTAAGCTACATTGTAGCAACAGCTGCCCTGGGGCACACTGACAGAAGCTGTGCCGCCGGACCCTCTGACCACCATCAGTAGGCAAGGCAGGTGAAGTGTCTTGCCCAAAGTCACAACGACAGAGACAGCTGGAATGGGGACTGAACCAGGACGGCTCCCCTAACCACTCCGCTACAACAATGTAAAACAGCTCAATGATCATAAAATATTCAAATATATCATACAAGTTACAATGATGTAAATTAGATCTGAAGTCCGTCTGTAACTTTGACTGAAGCTAGTTGAATAATTATAACTTCAGCGAGTAATGATGTATGTTTATTATGATTTACCTGTTTTTAAATTTAATTTAAAGTTATTTAACCAGGCAAGTCCTGTTGAGATAGCAGATCTCTTTTTCAAGGGAGGCCTGGGCTTGAAGGCAACCTGTTGTACATGTTTTTTGGGGGGTGGGGGAAACCGGAGCACCCAAAGAAAACCCACGCAAGCACAAGGAGAACATGCAAACTCCACACAGTAAGACCCCAGGTCCAAATCGGGGATCGAACCAAGGACCTTCTCACTGTGTGGCGAACTGCTATGTAGTCAACACTTTGGAAATATTCACTGAATACCCTGCGATAATTTAAGATGAAACTTGTCTCAACTGATATTAGCTAACCATCTTCTCAACAGCTCAGGTTTGTCTAATAGAGACTTAAAAATAGTTAAAAAATATAATATTATTGAGTCTACATAAATTCAAGACACACCAATTTGTAATATTTTTTAATTTGTGTTAAACTGAAGCGTGATTCAGTACAGTGCTACCATCTGTATAGTGTTAGAGAGGYTAATGTCTGCTAACGAATTCCATATTTAACAGAGATCACATTGGCGTTATAAGCTTTTTCTTTTTTTTTTACCTGAAATTGTTACATTATTAGCTTCAGCTCTGTTCAGATCACATCCACACTGAGGTAGATAAAATGAAATCTGCTCATTTTTGAAATGAGACACATTTGTTTTTCTTCAGTTGGTAAATTCATATCACACACACATCTTTCTGACATTTCGTATACATTAGATAGCTTATATATGCTCTAAAATAATAAAAAATTATATTTTATTGTTATTTTATTTATTAGTTTTTATATTTATTTCCATAATCTGCCCTTATTGGTCACTATTTTGTCAACATGTACAGTAATGCTAAATTCAGACAATTACCCAGTCTGCTTGTGGACGCTGCTGCTATAGTAGATCCTACGGTCAAGTAAAATAGATACACTCCTGCTATACCTCTAAGGTTGCACCTAAACTAAAAAAAAAAAACCTGGGGACCAACTTTACATGGGAATGTGTTTATTTTAATTTGGTAATAATATTTGAATCTGCTTCACAGAACCTCCAAATTTCAATCACCTTATAACTTGTTGTTATTTCTATTTACACTGTAATTTCTATTTACACTGTTTTTATTTCTATTTACACTGTTTTTATTTCTATTTACACTGTTGTTATTTCTATTTTAAGTGTATAGACACTAAAGAATGCTCATTGTTCTCTATGCTCATCTGGTTCTCCTGAGTTTTTATACTTATTTCTTCCTTGTGTGCTCAAACATTTCTTCCTCTATACTTTATCTCAAATGCTTACTTGAATGGCTTCAGCTGTAATAATTGCAATTTCCCTTCGGGGATCATTAAAGTATTCTGATTCTGATTATAACACCCAATTACAGTATATTACCTTAAATATTTTTAATAGATCTGTTTTAAATAAAACCCTTTAAAGTGAGTTGCAGTAAAGTTAGGATATTTCATGTTACAAATTCTTTTTTCCCACCTGTCTGCTTTATGATTTTTCTTTAATTTGCAGTTGATGAAAGAGAAACACGATAACACTGTTTTAATTGCTGAGAGAATTCAACAAAAGAAGCTCCTGGAGAAATACACCCGAGGTTAGCAAGACGTCTATACTGTATAGGTGCTGTGGTCCTCATTTGCAAAAACATATCACTATTCATGTGTAAAGAGAGAAAAGCCCATTTAAAATATTGAATACATATTAATAATGACTTCATCAGAATGTAAAAGTGATGCATTTTGATGTTAGATCACCTTTCTGACAGCTTCTTTCAGACAGATCACACAGCAGGAACAAAGAGCCACACGGCGCCCACAGTTTGACTATTCATTTAAAATTGGAAGGTACATAAAATTAGGCTGAAACGGGCCACTTTTCTCAGTACTGCATGTTGCCTTGACATGACAAATGTTTATTAGTCAAATAATTTTCTAAGAAATTGCAACATTTTTCATGGCCATTAAAAACAGTGATGCTTAACCAACATGTGGTGTGATAAAGGTTACTTATTTGCAAATTTGTTCGTGCAGATTGAACATTCAAATTAAAAGCCTAGCATTACTTAAAGGAATGAATACTGCTCACTGAATCATGGCCACTTTTGGTATTTTCTAAAACCAGTTAGATGTCCTGGCCATCTTGGATTGGACTGCTTATAAATTTAATCTTGTAGAAGTTTATCCACTGATGGCTTTCTCTGAGTTTTCTTAAAATCTGTATCATGGGTTTTAATATATTTACCTTAAACCACTGACTTACTTTATGGCTGACTATAATATTTAATGGCAGAGTTTTGTTTTACACAGATTTTGCACGATTTGTTAGTGCTAAAAGTACATATTGGGGATGACTCTCAGCTACTACCACACTAAATTATAGCATAAGACCAACTGAGTTATGGCTAGTTTTGTGTTTGCTACACTGTAAAAATTGCCCATGTAACCAAATCTTACATYGACTCAAATTAAGTGAAATAATCTGCCAGTGGAATAAGWGGCTTGCACCTAGAAAAATTTCTTGAAATAAGGAAAACTTTCTGGCTAACAAGTTTAATATTCTATCACATTCTGCTCTTGCTAATTGGATGAAGATAATTTAAGATAAGATAAGGCAAGATAAGATAAGATAAGATAAGATAAGATAAGATAAGATAAACCTTTATTGTCATTGTACAGAGCACAATGAATTTACAGTTCAGAACACCCATTCAGAAGAAGACAGAACATAACAAACATAGGAGAACAGGTGCCCTGGGTCACGCAGCCACAGACCCTTGACAGAACAAGGATCATCATCATGAAGACATCACGAGGAGGCGCAACCCTTAAAAGAAAAACTAAAAACCACACAACAAATGTGACACACTATGGTGTTTATTAAAAAAACTCTGCATAGAGCACATTTATTAGCCAGAGGAGTAAGTGAGGTTAGGGGAGCATGTATCTGAAGCCATGATTGTTGTATGCACTTGTGTGATTATTTGAAAAATGAGCCCGAAGAATCCAGTCCCCAAAACCCACCCAGCCATAGTTCAGAATATGGATGTTAACWGTTAATTCTGTGCGGCCCTCAGCTTGCTCCAGAAACAAGATCACAGACGGGAGTGAGATAGGGGAAAGGTGGGGGGAGGGGGGCAGACACTCAGTCAACGTAAACATCCAAGGAAAATTTAATTCCACAGCTCAAGGCCATGTAGGAGAGAGCCAAATCTGTAATCAGTTGTTTGGGAACGGAAGAAAATGTTTTGGGCCARGCAGACAATAACAATTTTCCATCTGCCTTCATGTCCACTGGTATCTCTCAATGTGGTGAATCCARTCAGACAMATAGTRTGGACAATCCCACCGAGCTATCAGTTTCTCCAWCATCAATTCCATCTCGCCAGCAAAGTCCAGGAACCACAGCCGRCCYGCGACCCTCAGCAGAACCGCTTGCAGACCGAGTYCAGCTCGCTCAAGGCAAAAGTCTGAGTGCTGATAGAACAGCAATCCTTCATATTGGTCAGGCAGTCAGGAAATGGCCCATATATTCACCAACGCTGTTTTGTAGAACACCAGGAGCCAATCTGTWGAATCCACGATYGGAATCCAAATATATATCCAGAACAGAGCAGAACAGAGGTCCCACTTTTGACATGTCCTCCCATAAGAGACCAGCTAACCAAATCCATAAAAATAAAAATATCCATAATTTCTGGTTTCGGATGAAAACGTAGAGGAGGCTCTGAGCAGCGAAGCAGGGAAGATAAGGGAGGGCAAGAGAGAGAGAAAAAAGTGTCTTACACCTCAGAAAGCAGAAAAAAATAATGAAATGTTGTAAAAGGTATAATTTTGTAAAACTTGGTCTGACTTTTTTTTTTTTTTTTTTTTGCAGTGGGTTTATTATCTATGGCAACCATTTTAAACCAATAAACCATTAATTTACCACCCGTGGTACATTCCCAGTTTTTGGTCACTTCCTGCTTCTTAATAGCCTGCAGTTGTTGAAAGAAAACTATAGCTCACCACAGACTTTGAATTTGCATAATAGATTATTCAAACAATTGGTTGTCATCTTCCAATTGACACCTCTTTTGACCAACTGGGTTTATCTATAGCAAGGGTGCCCAAACTTTTCCCTGAGAGGGCCAAAATTTAAATCTGTCCAAGGGCTGTCGGTCAAATGCAATAATATAATACATGTTTGACATGCTTGGGCAGCAAAGGCTCATAGGACATTTTAAAATTTGATCAAATCTGAGTATTTGTGGCTTATGATGTGTTTAAATCTACATGTGTGCTGAAATCATGACAGGATATTACAACTTAGTAACCAGGGCAACTACTGGTGGGCCAAATCAAATGGCTTGGTGAGCCAGTTCTAGCCCACAGGCCCCACTTTGGACRCCTTGATCTACAGACAAAGCACAAAATGTGTGGCAAGCCCCTCAAGTCTCACCCATTTGTGGTTTTTGATTGACTAGAATTGGCCAATCAGCTCTGAGTTTGATTCTGTGTAGCCAATTGAGTTACCTTTAGTTTGATATGCAGCTATGAAATTTAAAAGAACAAATAAAGGTTAAAGTGTGTTTTAACTTCCATAACCTAAATACTAGTTACAGTTACAAAAATGATGACGCTGAAGTTAAAATTTCAGATTGACAGCTTTATATAGAGACTAGGCTTGTGAATGTACTTCTCATGGTTCAAGAGGAATACTTAATTTATTTTGGGTTAGGCCAGTAACAGTTTAAATGGATTAACTCCAAATAGTAATCAGTACACACCTATTGATTTTTTTAGAGTTTCATAAAAATCTGCCCAAAGACTCATAAGATATTTTGCTAACAGACATACAGTATACAGACACAGACTGATAAAAGTCACTGTTTTGCATGCAAACATCAGTATCTCAATTTGCTGTGGAAGAATATGAAGTGTTGGAGGACACATTAAACCTGGAGAAAAGCCTGCGGACAGAGGCAGAAAACTTTGCCAGAGCAGTAAGATTGTTTTTACTCTATAAGATTATTATTTTTTTTATGAACTGATGTAAATTATCATTTCCTGACTGTCATTTGGTCCCATTCATTACCTTCCAGATGCTGGTTGAGCAAAAAAGGCTGAAGAGACAGAGTGAAATGTTGATGCAGAACTGCTCGTCAAGTCAAGCTGCACTGGAAGCCCTCGGTCAGGTGGCGGATCTGACCAGTCAGCTGGAGGCTCAGAGGCTGGAGCACCAGAACCAGGTCTGTGTACGCAGCTTTAACAAGAACTAAATGAAGGTCTAGTGGTCCTTGAAGGTTTATTATTCACCACCTTTAATGTTGAAGTCTAAACTAAGATCATCTCATGGTGAAAAATGATTGCGTAATTGCCAATTTGTTGCTTTTTAGTTTAATACCTGACAGACTGACTGAGTTCTGTCTGTTTCTAAATATGTAGTGCAAAGTATAAAATAAAATGTTACACATTTAAACACACAAACACCATTATTTAGAGCATTTTCTGAGTGTAAACTCCTCGTTGAAATTTTCTACTGACATTTTGTTGTTATTTAGCTCACTGTTCTTACATTTTGCTTATTTTTTTTACTAATTGTTTAATTTAAATGTTAAATGCAAATATTAAATTATAAATCTAAAAGTAAAAACTAAAACTATGATGTTGTAGTTAAAGGATAAAGCTTACATTAAAAAAAATCAGAATGGAATGCAGCCTTTGCTGTTGGTGAGATGCTTTTGTTGTGACGTCATCATTCGGCAACAAAAGCAACCACTATCCCTGCTAAGTCTGCTAACACTGCTGAAGATGGTATTTAAAATCTAAATTCAAAATGTATTAATTGAAACCAAGGACGGTACCAGTGGTTCAGCAATTTGAAGTGGAGCTCAGACACCAGCTGCAAGGTCAATGTCTTGTGAGGAAGCGTTAGCAGCATTTGCAGCGTTAGCAGCTTTAGCATGTCCTAAGAAGCACCAACAGCAAAGGCTATGTTCCATTTTAAAATACAGTACTTGAATGTAAACTTCAACATTTGACCACAAAATTTAAGATTTAACTTTTGCATTTAAATTTACACATTTAGATTTAGAATTTCTCATCTGGACATAAGATTTAACGTTTAAATTTAGCATTTAGTAAAAGGCAAGAACAAGGAGCTAAATAAAAACAAATGTTAGTGGATCTGTCAACAGCAGGCGATTTGTGCATGCACATTTGACGTTTTACATGAGCAGCATGTTCTTGTGCAGTTTGAAATGTGTACATTTATAAAACTACAACTAAATACATTTGTGGATACCTTTGGGACTAATTTATCTTCATATGACAGATTTAATTTAGGCTGTCTCGGGAGACAAAGGATCTAATAAATTGTTGTCTAATAAACTGAACTGTTTTTAAGATCATCCTTCTGATTCACATCTATTTAGTTAAACACATTTTCATAAAAAAAAAGGTTTTAAGTTGGTTTTTGAGTTCAGGAGGAAATGGTCGATAAAGTGTTTTATATGCATTGAGCAGCCAGAACAATATTTAAAGCAGCAACATAGCCGTAACTYCTATGCCCACATTCTCTGCGGCGCTGATGGAAAACAATTAGCGCTGAGTGGGATCAGTGATCTCCTCAGTGCTCAGGTGGAGGTGAGCCATATCCTTCATTTTAGGAACAATTAAAGCACCGGTAAAGGAATGACCATTGTGGAGYAAATGACATGATTTCAGCTGGCATCCTTCTGGAGCTGTTTAGGAGAAATTATCACTGCAGGAGCTGCAGCAATACAACAATTTAATTCAGATTATTTAGCAGGAAAATAGATCAAAAATATTTATTGTTCATCTTATAACAACATTAGTTGTTATAACATAGTAACCTTTGCAACAATAATGTTTAGACAGCTTTCTCTTATTCCTTGTGTAACTTTTTCTTTAATAATTCTAATAGTTGATAAACACAGGTTATAGGTTTATTTTAATTCAGTTTATTTACATAGCATCAGTTTACAACAAAGTCTAAAAATAAAAATTTTTAAAAAGTCCAAACAATGAATCCAATTCAGAGCCAGATTAAAATCCCGTTAGCCAATTCAATTCTTGAAACCACACACTACAAAAATGTCAGTTTTTTATTTAGTCAAATAAAGCCAGTAAATTGTGTCAAAACTTCCATTTGTCAGCAGTACGTTGAAAACAGAAAGGAACAATTCCCTTTTAACAGGAAGAACTCTCCAGCAGGACCTGAACCAGGTTCAGGACGGGCAAACATTGGCTGACTGGGGTTTAAAAGGACAGGAAAGAGACACAGACTGGTCCAGGTTTCTGTGGGAAGGAAAAGGGAGAAAAACATATTATTGACAGCAAAACTGTTGTCTGTTACAGATCTGTTAGCTACACTTTCCATTGGCCAGTTCTTTCATTGAAACCAGGTCACAAAAACTTTATTTTCTTGTTTTTCCTTTGGTCTATCCACCCCCAACCTCTTCACTTCCAGTTTTTCCTTCATAGACATGAAGGAAAACGGGTGAGAAATGAAATACTCCACCATTTTTATGTTAATGTTACTCACCATCATACCTAGGCTACACCAAACCACACCCACTCGTGCTCAAGACATGTTACTATACATCCACTCTCATTGGCTAAAGCCTGTGGCCTTGGGCTGACTCTGGGCTGAACAAGATTAGCCACAATGAGCAACAAATTGAGGGGAYGGGACAAGACATCTGTCAATCATTTTGTACCACCAAAGACATTAAATGAACCTACAGTTGGGGATTTTCTGCAGACTGTTTGACACCGGTTTTGCTGTAAATTTCACAAAGTTTGACCTGAGCAGCACCGGTAAATATGTCTTAAGAGCTAACACAGCAGACAGAATTTATTTAGTCATATACTGCAGGTAGGCAGTATGTGTTAGCATTTAAATGAAGATTAACGATCCTATTTGCTTTGGCCCATCTCTAGATTAAGCAGCTGGAGGAGAAACTGAAGGCTTGTGAGGCTCAGAAGGAGATAACAGCATTAAGACGCAAACTGGACCTCTTGGAGGAAGAGAAGAAAGAGAGCAGTGTCAAATGCTCCAAGGCCGAACAGGAAGTCAAAGATCTGCGTTTCACAGGTGAGGATTAGGATTTTTAATTTGAGATTGCTCTGTGTGCCATTTCACATCATAAAATCCAGTCATCTAAATAAACCCTCTAAATGTAGTAAGATAAGATTTGTTCAGATTACAGAGGGCTTAGTGAAGAAGATAAATTAGTGGGTCCTGAAAGGTGCTGACTTCCAGTCTCTCCAAAACATTTTTTTGTTGTGGGATGCTAGCCTGGTAAAAACCAGACCCTTGTCCTTCACTTTGCTTCGTACAGAGGGTCTGGACTCGCTGCTATTGAGGAGCGATTTCTTGCTGGAGGCGTGGCCTCTGCTGAAGTGTGTGTGTGTGTGTGTGTGTGTGTGTGTGTG